TCTTTTTTCCAAATAAACTTTTTTGTTATACCAATTTTCTAAGAGGGGGGTAGGTTGCCAGGGATCAAACTCAGGACCTTGTGCTTGCCAGGCAGGCACCTGTGTCGTGGAGCTATCTCCCTGGCCCTAAACACATCTTTTAAAAACAGTGTAAGATGAGCCACAGGCTGGGAGAAAATGTTTGTAAATCATTTCTCCAACAGGTTTATATTAAGAATATAAGACTCAGGGGGGCTGGTGAGATGGCTCAGTGGTCTAAAGCACCTATTTGGAACAAGCTTAGCAAAGCACAGGGACCGCAGTTCAATTCCCAGCACCACATGCCAGCCAGACCCACACCCTGGTGGGCTGAGCTGGGGACACACACACACACACATAAATAAAAATTAAAAAAAAAAAAAGAATATAAGACTCAAAACTCCCCTAATAATTAGAACACAACTGGAACACACTTGTTGCTAGTAGGAATGAAAATAAAAAATGGCACTGGTAGCTGCTTGCAAATTTGTGCAGCTTTCCACACACAGGTCTGTGCCAAGTGAAATGAAATCCTGTGTTTCCCCATAACCTGTACTAACCTGTACAGAAAGGTATAGAGCTGACTAAAACCATGAAAACTGGAAATAAGTCTATAAGCAGGGCACTATGTCCATACCTGGAGAATGGGTAACTGGTACATCCATAGGATGGAATCCTCTGCAATAAAATAACTTTTTTTTTTTTTTTTTGGGAGGGGGTCTTTTATGAAACAGGGTGTTCCTATGCAGTTTAGGCTGGCTCAGTCTGTAGCCCAGGCTGGTCTTGAACTTGCAACAATCCTTCTGCCTCAGCCTCCCAAGTGCTGGGATTCAGCATTATCCATGCTGGACTAATAAAATGACTGTTGACACCTGCAACTACATGGAAAAATTCTAAACTATCCTAATTAAATTGCCATACACATGCTGTATACTAAGTGTCTTCACTTAAATAGGACTTCTAGAAAAGTCAGGTCAAAAAGGTAGGACACATGGGTCAAATTCAGTCTTGTTTTTATACAGCATATAAGGTACACATAAATACATTTTTTAATGATTTGAATACAAATTAGGTAAAACTCAAACTTCAGTGTCCAGAAATAAGTTTTACTAGTTTAAGTAAAATATAACCAGGGCCAAGGAGATGGCTCAGTAGAATAAGCACTTCCCTGGCAAGCACAAGGCCCTGAGTTCAATCCCCAGTTCTGCCAAAAAAAATTAAATATAACCGTACTTTTTCTTAGTGTGTGTGACAGGGTCTCATACAGTAGAGGAACTCATTATGTAGCTCAGGCTGACCTGGGGCTTCCAATTCTGCCTTAGCCTAAGTGCTATGATTACAAATATGTACCACAACACCCAGCTTTCTTTAAATATTACCTATGCCTTTTTGTACAATGGCAGAGCAGCTGGCATCAGAGACTATAAAAAACTATATGAAGTTTAAAATATTTACATATGGCCCCATCCAGAGTTTGCTGACTTTTGCCACTGTGATAGAACAGTGCTGGTTGCCAGCATACAGGTGGAGTTAATCAGCAGAAACTGTTTTACAGGATTCTAGAACTGTTTTGTCTTAATTATAGTGATTACGGGACTGCATTTTTCGAAACAGAACTATACGTCAACAAGTTAACTTTTTAAATGTTTTAGTTGGGTTTTTTGTTGTTTTTTTAAAAAAGGCAAGAGAAAATATGATTGCCAGGAACTAGGGAAAAGGACTAACTACAGCTAGTATAAGGGAGTATTCTGGGTGTTCTGTGTACTAATTGATGTATTAGTTTCTGGGAAGGATGGAAGGCACTTGTAATCCCAGTTACTCAGAAAACTGAGACAGGAAGATCACAAGTTTGAGGCCAACCTGGGCAACAAGGTGAGAGTAGCTAAAACATAAAACTACATTTGTCAAATTCAGCCTTGAGACCAAAAAAAAGAGTGATTTTACTGATATAAATTCTAACATTTTTTTTTTAGACAAGGTCTCACTATGTAGTTTACACTAGTCTTGAACTCTTGGCAATCCTCCTGCCTGGTGGAATTACAGGCATGCACCATCAAACCTAGCTATAAATTTTAATTTTTTAAAATAAAGACAGATACACTGAAAAGACCGAATCAAACATTTACCCTATACAGAAAAAAACGTAATAAAGCTTAACAGTTTTCTCTTGTAGACAGCAAAAACAATTACTAGGGGGTTTAAAGGAAAGAACAGAAAGTATCTTCGACATACAAAGCATTTTTTAAGAACAATATGCAGAGATAATTTTAAACTTTTTTTTTATTTTGAGGCAGAGTCTCACTGAATTTTCCAGATGGGGCTCAAACTGGAAAGTCTCCTTGCAGGCTTTCACAGAGAGCAAATTGGTCAAGCATTGGCTGAGACTCATCCACATGGCTGACAGTGACAAAGGATCTACAAAGTGCAGTACAGGGTTACAGGATAAATCCTGAGGGGCCTTGACTGACCTTATCAGATACAAAAGTTACATTTCTTGTTACATAGGTCTTGCTTTATCTTGGTCTTAACCATCCAGCAGAAAAGTATAAAAACAAGGTATATAAAGTAAAACCACATCAATACGATGAGTTGTAAAACGCTCTAGTCAACAACTTCTGCGGACAACCCCTACTATTGGACTAGTGGACTGTGTTGGATTGATTTGATGAATTCAAGCACCTATAATATTTAGATACCAATAGAATACCCATCTCTGACAGGACTGACCTGGAGAGGGGGGACACAGAGGAAGGACCATTTTGTATTTGTATATACAGAATAATTAGGATAGATGTACGGCTGCTTTCGCTTGGTTCAGTGAGAGGAAGGACTTGTAGTAGAAGTGTTTGGACGGGATGTGCTGGCTGCTTCTTGTGCTGTGGATGACCGCTGAGAAGATAACAATGTGCAATGTATTAATTATTGAAAACGTCCTATTAATCAGCTTGGAAAGTGTCTCATTGATATTTCTCAATAAAAAAAAAAAAATACTTGAAACTCTTTCAACCTCCCAAAGTGCTGGGTTACATGTGTGCAACACTGCACCTAGCGGGTAATAGTTCTTTTTTGTATTTTATTTGAGAATCTAACTTGCAATTATTCTCTGGGAATAAGTGGTTTCTGTTATTTTGGTTCTGAGGATCAACGCCAGGGCCTTTGTTTGCTAAGAACACACTCAACCACTGAGTTACAGAAGTGTAAAAACAATGCCGGTTTTTTAAGTTTCACTAAACTCTCAGGCAAGGGCCGGCCAAAAAGCTCAGCGGATTAAAGCACCAGCAAACAGGCGCAGGGGCCAGGGACTGGATCCCTGGGCCTGCCATGCCAGTCCTGCCCCCGGGCACTGAGATGGCAGGCAACTAAGACTGGGCGTGGGATTGAGACTGGGCATGGTGGCAAGTGCCTGTAATCCCAGCTCTTGAGAGATTGTAAACAGGAGGATCACTAGAGTCCGATCTAGTAGTGAGACCCTGAATACCCTGTAGACCCTTCCCTAAAATACAAAATATATAAATAAACTCTCAGGCAGTGAGCAAGGCACTAGAATAAGAAAGAGCCCTAAAGCTAGTTCCATAAAGCATTTTACTGTGAAAAGGAAGGCATATATATTTACAATAAAAAATTTTTGAACTGTGAAATCACTTAAATATAAAAAAATTCAAAGGTAAGATACTATTTATAAACTACATATTTATCTAAAACTAAATATAGCTGTTTACAAGAAGTAATTTCAGAATATACACAGAAATTCACAAACGTTCCAAAGCCCCTGAAGTGTGGCAGCAGGTTCCAAAGGTCTCTGCCCATCGAGCTCAGAGCCCAGGTGAGCTGTGGTGCCCTGGGCACAGGATTCTCTCCTGACGACCTCCGGCTATGGCTGGGCCTCGTCAAAGGATGCTGTCCGTGTCACTCGCCCTGCAGTGAATCACAGGGCCTATGCTGGAGATGCCTGTCTGCCAAAAAAGCAGGTGCTGCAGTCGCTGGGAAAATGAAGGGAGAAACACTCGGGACATGCCTGCTTCTCCAGAAATGTCCTTGAAGGCAGATTTCTTTTGTGGTTTAGGACTCAGCTTCATCATTGTCACTTTTATCACCATCATTCGCCTCTTCATCTTCCCTCTTCTCCTTAAGCATTTTCAGGTACTTACTAGCTAAAATCTTCTTTGGTAATATATCTTAAAATCATAAGGCTTATATCAGCAATTTATTATAATAAACTATGAATACAACAGTACAGATTTTAAAAAGGACTTGTTCCTATGTTCACCTCTACAACAGCTTCCAAAAGACAACAAAATTTAGGCTACGCTTCTAGGTGAAATAGAGTAACTAATTCTGTCTCCTAACTCACAGTACAGACCTGCTCCCATTCTACTAAGTGTAAACTGTCATTGGCTAGTTGGCTCATTTATGTATATTTTTGATACAGGGTCTTGCTAACTATCCCATGGTAGCCTTAAACTTGAGGTGATCCTCCTGCCTCAGCCTCCCCAGTGCTGGGATTATAGGCACGTACCACCATGCCTCGTTCTAAACCAGTGTTTTGAAGCACTATAGTTTTGTGAGCAACCCTGCTTAACCTGAGATAGGCCAAGCTGGTCCCAAGGGAAGACTTAAGCTGTCTTTTGCTTATGGCCCTGTTTCACAGAGCTTCCCTTCTACAGCTGGGCCCTGCCAACCAAACATCTTGGGTATCCTACTGACTTCTTTACTGTTCTATTTGGACCACCTAACAGTCATATTCAGAGAAGACTAGAGATACCTCCCTGTGTCAGGTCGTAGTAAGCTAGCACCTGAACAAAAAGCCAAATGTCTAATTCATGAAGGCAAAATCAGGGGAGAAAAATTCAAGCCCCCCCGCCCCCGCTTTTTTTTTTTTTTTTTTTGAGACAAGGTCTCCTGCATACTTCAGGCTGGCCTTGAGTCCACTATGTAGCGCAGGCTGGCCTTAAACTCAGTAATCCTGTCTTAGCTTCCCCAAGTGCTAGGATTATAGGTGTGTACCATCATGCCTTGTTACCCGGCATTTTTATTTTTATTTTTATTTATTTATTTTTTACCCGGCATTTTTAAACCAGAACGTTTCAAACATTAAATACCTGCAAGAAACTGAAAAGTTTCTGATTCCTCAGCAGTATTTGCTAAATCACTGTAAGTCAGTGCTTTTCTTTCTTTTCCACTGCCATGTCTGTAGGAATAGGTTGCTAGATATTGAACAAAGAGCTCCTAAAATAAAATGAAAAAGTATCATGAAAGAAGTGCTGTGAAAACTCACCAGAGATGTAATTTTTTTCAAATTACTGTAGAAGTGTATGTTAAATTCAAGTTAAATTACAAAAAAAATCACCTTACAGGAGAAAGAAACAAGGTCAGAAAGAAAGCAAGGTTTTGTCCCAAGCTGGAGGGAAGAGGTCATTTTCCAGAGCCTAGTTTAGATGTGTAATTTATGAAAAGTATTTACAGGTGATCAAAAACCATGACTCATAACAATGAAACAATCTCTACATGAAAGAAAAGACCAAAAATACTACCTGGAGGTCAGGGATTTAGCTCAGACCGTCTAGCTTGAATAACGCCCTGGGTTTGATCCCAGCATTAGAAAAATCAATAATTCTATCTGGCTCAGGAACATATTTTAATCTATTTGAATCCTTTGTTTGAAGATAGTGCACCCATTACAACTACAGTAGGATCAACAACCTGAAGCTGAAAATGGACATATGACATTTTTCCCAAACAAAAAGCATCTTCCATGATGGGAACAGATGTCCACAGTATGATAAATGTCAAGGTGAAATTTTTAGGATGTGTTACAGTAAGGGACACACTTCCATTAAGCTATCTCAAAATACTCTCCCTCACTTGGAACACAACCCACTGTTCTCATTGCTCTCAAGTAGTTTTGGAATTAAACTTTTTAATACTATGTATTTTTGCTGCCTCTTATAAATACTGATTATCCCAAACCAACTACCTAAACAGAGCCTTTTCTTAATCCACGTACTTTAGTGAGGGGCGAGAAAAATGCCTGAAATCATCTATGATCCAAATCACACTGGAAGTATACAATTATTGTACAATGCCACCTTGTAGACATGAAGTATACCGGTGGATGTCAGAAGATTACACATAAGAAAGGGATTGAGTATACAGGATTTGAGTATAAGTGGGAGTACAAGTTTTTAAGGCCTGTTGTATTTTCCCCCACATTAAAAAAGCACAGATCTGGCACAAGACAAGGAAACTCCCAAATTTTGTGGCTAAAATTTCTTTTAACCACAGCCCAACATTGAATTAATACTATGAGCTGTAAAACAATTTAAAGAAAGCTAAAGCAGTTAACTGTGAAGCTTAAACATGGCCAAATCTCAGGCCAAGAAGACTACCACCATCAGTCCAAATTTTAAAAGATAAAATGAAGGCAGGGCGGTCCCGCAACCTGCAACTAAAGCTGCTCTGCAGACGGCTACCTCCCCACCAACCAAAAAAAAAAAGGACAAGAAAAATATTTTGATCGATAGAGGGAAGTAAAGCTGTAAAAATAGCTCCCTGGAGGCAGTAAAATTTTGGGTCATTCCCCCAGCTACGAGCAAGGTCTGGTGGGCGGAGAATTCGAGGGCCCCGGGCACCGTAGGCCAGGTTACGTGGGAGGCGTGGAGGGATGTCTTTATCACGCTGGCAAAGAGTTAGAAAAGGGAAATCTTCGCAGCTGCAAGCACCGTGACGCCAGAGAGACGGGCGCGAAGCAGCTCGGGCGTCGCGGGGCCCAGCTAGGGCTACACTAACTGGCGTGCTTCGGCGCTGAGCCGAGCGGCGGGAACGAGAGGATTGGACGAGGCCAGGGACAGCCGCGGGGGACGGCGGGAGCGGGCGAATGGGCGTGCCGGGGGAGGGGGGGGACGGCGGGCGGGCGAATGGGCGTGCAGGGGGGTGCCGGGAGCGGACGAATGGGCGTGCCGGGGGGGCTGGGGGACGGCGGGAGCGGCGCTGACGCGGCCGAGCACTCGCGGCCCGGTGGGCCGGTTAAGGGCGCCCACGCCCTCCCCAGCTGCGCTCCTCACCGTGGCCTTGGCCGTGAGCACCAGCGCCTCTTGGTTGATACTGGACACTTCGGGGGAGCTCTTCATGATGACCCGGATACGGGACAGGGGCAGCGACACCAGCCGCTGCTCCCCGCACTTATCCTTGCCCACGGCCACGTCCGCCATCTTCTCGCACCAGCGCGACCTGTTGGCCTGCTGGGGAGCGGACGGGCGCCCTACAGCCCCGTGGGAGTTGTAGTCCGGAAGGGAGCTTGCTACCCAGGATGCTCCGCGTGCCGCGCACGCGCAGATGGCCCTTACAGGGACGCGAGACATAGAGCATGCCGGGAAACTGCAGGCGGGAGTTTGCAGAGTTGGTTCTAGCCTGCGACGGTGTGCTGATTGTCTGTTTGCGCTGGCGGTGGAATGGCGCAACGAACAAAGAAACGCTGTCCAGCTGGACGCGGACGCGACGTCTGAGGCGGGAGATGACATGTCCGAATGTTCCTGGCCGTCCTGGATAACAGCAAGGGCTGTTCCCCGTAAACCAGGTTCTTGTTGTATAGGGCGACACAGACGCAAGCGTATCTCACACTGACTAGTAGTGAGATATGCGTTTCAGAAATAAAAAATGCCTTTCTGAGGTTCACATTGTATAGGGCAAGACAGAAGCAAGCAACTGAGGTCACATTACTGGTAATGAGATTACCTTAAATGAAAATAAAGGACCGTAGAAAGACAAGTTTGTTCAAAGTGGTAGAGATGAGAGGACGCACCTTCTGACGTGGAAGGAAGGCTTTCAGGCCCCGAGGGCCATGGGAATTAACCACTTAAGGAAGCTCTGGAGGCACTGGGGACCCCATGTGTCAGATGGACTCTAGGAGGGTGTCAGGAGCTATGTGCTATTAGATTATATTTTAAGAAAAATGGGATATCATTTTTAAAAAATGATAAGACATGACTTTACGATAAAAAGCAGCGCCGGGGAGATGGCTCAGTAGAATAAGCGCTTGCCTGGCAAGCACAAGGGCCTGAGTTTAATCCCGGGTTCTGCAAAAAAAAAAAAAAAAAAGAATTAAGATAAAAAGCTGCTGTCTACGAGTGGAGGGGCAAGAGCAACTGCTGATCAGAAGGCTACCATGGCAAAAGTGAAAGGACTAAGAAAAAAATGGCAACAGGTAGCAGGGGCCAGATGGGGTAGCCCTCTTTAAGACCTAGAATTCTGGTCTACCTTAACTTTTACAAGGATCATGGAAAGTGAATGGGTTTGAGATATCATTTGAAGTCAACAGTATTATAGAAACAGCTAAGTTAGAAATTAATAAGTAGAGGGGAATTGGGCCTTTGAACCATATCAAAGTAGTGGTTGGAGGCTAACCTGAAGAGCACCAGACCTTAAGATCCAGATGGAATAGCAAGGTCTGCAAGCCTCCTTGAGATCAACAGCAGCTGTAATTAGTACCACCTGGTCCAGAAAGTCTGTGTGGGCCTCAGACACACAGCTGGGTGACTAGAACATTGGGGCCCACACTGCCTCACCTGTAGAAATTAGAGGCATGCTAAAGTGATGAATGATGCTCACCATATACTGTTGGTACGTGCCTCACTTCCCTTTTGGGTCAATATTAACTAAGCACCTATAGTTGTAATTGTATAGGCTGGTTGCAGTTTGACCTGTGTTGTACTTGTGTTGTGATTTTGATATATGAAGTGCCCTTGACAAAGAACCTCTGTGGCCATCCACTAGAAACCCCTCTTAGAAGCTCAGGAGCTATTCTTATATCCAGTAAATCTCTCTTAACCTCCTACTTTGGTTCCTGACTTCACTCTTTGTAACAGATTGATAGTTATTTTCCAAGTGAAAGGGACTTACTCATCTAATATTATGACCTGAATATGGAATAGGGGCAGCAGCCCATGCTGCTGCTCCCTGCATTTGTCCTTCCCTTGGATGTGCTCCCAACAGTTCCCTTCCCACTCTCAAGACCCTGCTCTTCCCAGGCTATAGACTTACTTCACATACCGGCATGAAAGGATAGTTCCATTTTATAAGATGAGTAGCCCTGTGGGAGGAGCAAATTTGGCAAAGATTTAAGTTGAGTTTTAAGTTTCAGTGTCATCATTTGTGTTCTGGTCCAAATGAATGAGCATAAAATACAGTTGTATCTCTGTATCCTTGAAGGATACAGAAGTGTCTGGAAGCTCAAGTCCTTTATATAAAATGTACCCTATGCAATGGAGTTTCTCCTATACAGTACTTTAAATCATTTCTAGAGTATTTTCAATACCAAACAATGTAAATACAGTGTGAATGATTCTAACACTATATGGGGAGGGGATAATGACAGTATTGTACATAGTTTAGACAGATGAAGCTTTTTTTCCTGAATAAATCAGTTGAAACTATATGTGTAGAACCTACAGATTCAAAGGGATAATGTGAGGTCCTGCTAGACACCAAGGTGTGACTAAGGCAGCTGTGATCCCTGCTTTCACAGAGCTTCCTTTCATGCCTGAGACAGATCAAGAAACATAAATATCTCTAATTCTAAGCGCTGTTCATAGAGTAGAACCAAATGAGCATGACAGGATGGCCTCTCTGTGAGGTGACATTTATGCTCAGAACTGAAGAGAAGGAGCCATCAATGCAGAAACGCTGGAATGAGATGGACCATCTAAACAGCAGCCTGTGGGAAGGACGCCTAAGGAGGACAATGCCTTGACAATTTAAGGAACTGAAAGACCAGGGTGGCTGGAGCTTAATGAGTGCCACAGAGAGCCCAGGGTATATGGTTATTGAGTAAGTGGTATCTTAGGTACCTTTCTTGTTGCTGAGGCAAAAATCCTGGACACCAAAGTTAAAGGAGGAAAGGGGTTTTTATTAGCAACAGTCCTCTTTCTGTGCATTTAGACTGTATGCCTTTAGGGCAGGTAGCATACCTACAGTGGGCCTTTCCATTATTCACAGCCAAAACTGCCAACCCGATCAGTGGACTGATCTAGTAATCATACATCTTTGATCCCAGCATCCCACACTCTAGATGCAGCCACCTTTGAAAAACTCTTACCTATGACCACATGAGGCTTTCAAGGGGCATCTAGACACACCATAATACCAGACATTGGGTGGAGTGTCCACTGAAGGCACAATTGCCATAGTGAGTATCATAATGGTAATGATGACCACAGGGCTTGGGTGTGCTAGCTTTTGATCTCAATACAGAAGTTTCAAAAAGTCAAAGCTCAAGCTTTAAACTGTTGGGTCATCTTTTTAACAACCAGTTTCTTTGATGCCTGAAGAGATTGCTGTAATTTGTATAGTCTCCAGCTGATAGACCTGAAGAACACACATTTAATCCTACGTAATGCATAATGGCATCATAAAATGAGTTCACAGCTGCAATCATGTGTAGTCTATAGATGGGGAAGAGCAGGGCCTTGAGAATGGCGGTAGGACTGTTGGGAGTACATCCAAGCACCTTTAGCCATCCACCCTGTTGTGGTTGATACATTGGGTCAACCTGAGATCTTGGAAGTTTGGCTGGATCCCTTGGTGATTCCTGCCCTGGAGCAGGGAGGGTCTGTCCTAGAGTGACTCAGCACTTACGGGGTATATAAACGGGTTGAGGAAAGCTTCTGTGTGCCACTTCCTTAGAGGATCTTGAACTTCACAGCCTCTTCCACTTCCTTGGAGGAGGAATGGTCTTTGCAGTCAGCGTAGAAAGAGAGAAAGGCTTGATAGATGTCACAGTTGCTGCTACTCCTCTGCTCTTTGTTGTTTTCTGTCATTGTGAACTGCTGCCATCTGCCTTGGAGCCAGCAGAGTATGGACTGAAACCTCAACTAACTGTGAGCTAAATAAACCTTTCCTTCCTTAATTTTGGGAGTCAGTATTTTGTCCTACAAATAAATAAATAGTAACTGATGCACACCCCCTTTGACATTCTAATGCGCCTCCCCATTAGTGGACATGGCCAGCTGTCTCCTGCCTCTCTGAGGAGATGAGCCTTTCTTGTTTGAAGTTCTCTTACTGCAGTACCCACACGACTAGAGAATGCCATCATTAGCTGCCATTATTAAGGTCCCAACATGTCCCAGGAAATAACTCCAAAGGTTGTTCATGCACTGAAAGAGCTGTGGGGTATTAACTCATTGTCATCAACAGGAACCTGGGAAGTATATGCAAAATAGAGTCTACTGGGTTCCATCTGGACCATAATATGGGGATCAGGCCAAATTTACTGATGGAGCAAACTTTTAAGAAATTTTTTGTTTAGTGTGTTATTTCTAGCAGCTGGGAGTGACACAATTTGTTTAGCAAACTGGTAGACTCAGTGCTGGACTCCTGTTCCACACTAGTGGCTTTGACTTTTACACACAGTATAGACCACATTGAAGTATGCTGCTCTGACTTGTTGACCATGAAACACCACAGGTCCTGTAGTATTCAATGTCCATAGCAGATAGCATTCTCCTAAATTCTGGGAAGTCCCTATTTGAGATTCACAGCACACTCAGAGATTAGAAGCACAAATATGCCCTCTTCTGCAAGAACTGTTCTCCAGCTTTCAGTATTCAGCTAGGAGGAGGATAAGTTGCAATATTTTTTGGTTTTCCAGAGTCCTGGTTCATCCAACACCAGCCACCTCCAACATGCTGCCCAACTTTGAGCCCAGTGAGATCAAGGTTGTGTACCTGACATGCACCAGTGGCAAAGTCAGTGCTGTGTCTGCCCTGACTTCAGGTTCTCAAGTTCAGTACCGTTAGGTCTGGCTCCAAAAGCAACTGAGTGATGACATCACCAAGGTAACTGGTGACTGGAATGGTCTGAGAATTATAGTGAAATCCACCATTCAAAACAGATAGGCCCAGATTTAAGTGGTGTCTTCTGCCTCTGCCCTGATCATCAAATCTTTCAAGGAGCTACCAAGAGATAGAAGCAGAAAAAAATAAAAAATAAAAAAAATTAAATACAGTGGAAACATCACTTTGCATGAGATTGTCAACATTGTCTGACATATGTGGCAGAGAACTTTCCGGAACCATTAAAGAGATCCTGGGGACCACCCAGTTTGTGGGCTGCAGTGTGAACAGTGGGCACTTCCGTGACATCAACAATACTGTGGAATGCCCAGCTAGCTAAGAAGCAAAAGATAAAAATATAATCTGACCCAAGGGAAAAAAAGGTTATTCTTCATTTGAGCAACAACTTCTGTTTGCTTCTGGGTGCTGGTAGAGCCCCAGAGCTACCTGATTAGATCTCAAGTGAGTGTATGACCCAAGCTGGATGGTGTGATCTTCTGAGCTGACTGGACACCTCACTGTGTCCTCGGGGAAGCGCTTCCCTGAGCAAGTCCCAGGAACATCAGTTACTGAGTAGGTGAATTAGATTGCTATAGCACCTCTTTCCACTCCATCCCTCCTCACCGTGTCCCCTCAATTACAACTTCAGAGGGGAATTCTCTGTGGGAAGAATAGTGAAGAAAGATACAGACTTAGTTAACATTGTTTAGTCAATATGCTGAGACCAGCCAGGAGGCAAATACTGTACCTGGCAGTTGCCCCAAAGTATGAGAGTGAAGGCAAAGATGCCAGACTGCCCTCTAGCAGGCACTTAACTGGGAGGACAGGCACGGGTACAGGAGCCGCACCAGTTCAGGGACAGTAGATAACAGTTGACCGAATGCCTACAGATTCAGAAAAAGCAAGTCAGAAACAGGTCAGGGGAGGGGAATATGGATGAACCGGTTAGAGAGGGGAGAGAGGAAGGAAATTTGTATTTCATTGCAGGCCTCACCGAAGGGCACATTCTGCAAGGAGGCCTTTAACAAAGTAGCTGTAGATGTCAGTCACTGTTCTGGCCACCTCC